CCCTCCCCCAGCTGCGGAAAGGCCTCTGGGCTCGGTGCGGCTGTGCGCCCTCTGCAAAGGCCACGAGGCCTCACGAGGGTGCCGCCTGGACCGGGGAGGGGGGCGGGCGGAGGCGCTCCGAGGGCGGAGGTCAGCTTCCTCCCCTCACCAAGCTTGCCCAGCGGCTTAACTCTCCGGAACCGGGGCCCCCAAACTGCCAGCTCGTCTCAGCTGATCTTCCAGAAAAGCCTGCCTCGCTGATGGGCCTCTGAGGTCCCTAAATTAATGCATTACAGGCGCCACACACGTTCCTAAACTGCGGCTGGTGTGGTTGGTGTTAAAATAGTGCTTCATTATGGTCCCTCTCCCTCAAGGAAACAATCCCACAGAAGGCCGACTTTCATTTAAAATCGACAAGTGAATCTGAAAGGAAGGGGAGACTACTTGGCCTAGCGAGANTCCCACAGAAGGTCGACTTTCATTTAAAATCGACAAGTGAATCTGAAAGGAAGGGGAGACTACTTGGCCTAGCGAGACACACACACACATACACACACATTTGCACCCTACCTTCCAGGTCTGTTCCATTTTTCACTCAGCTCAACCAGGTAGGGTTCTGTTTTTGACATTCTCAAGGAACTTTCAAGAGTAACCTTGTTTAGGAAAAAAAAAAAAAATGCTATTCAAGTGTTTTCAGATGTTCTTAACTGCTATACTGTTTCTACGTGTTTCATGATACGTTGGAAATCGTGCTTGATTCTATAGGCATAAAAGTTTCAAAACTGAATCAGTACTAATGAGATATTGTATCAGTACTAATGAGATATTGTATCAGTACTAATGAGATATTGTATAAGTACTAATGAGAGCGAAGCTTAAAAAGAAAAAAGCTTTTCATGGTTGAAAAATGAAAGAGCCGCCTCCAGGTTATGGCGTGACTAACCAAAGCTTTATTTAAAAAAAAAAAAAAAACACAGCCCTGCTGGTGTGGCTCAGTGGTTGAGCGCCACCAGGAGGTTGCGGGTTGGGTTCCTGGTCAGGGCGCAGGCCGGGGTTGTTGGCTCGATTCCCAGTAGGGGGCGTGCAGGAGGCAGCCATCAATGATTCTATCTCCCCCCCTCTCTCTAAAATCAGTAAAAACATACTTTTAAAGAATAAAATAACAAAACAAAAGCAAAAAACCCCCACGTCTATTAGATTTATCATCATCGATAAACAGAGTAAGCCCCTTGGCAACCCTGAAGCAGACACCCTTTGACTTCTCCCCCCGTCAATGGGCCCCTCCCTGGGTTTTCTTCCCATCAGCTGACGGCGAGGCGTCCCCAACGGTGTCCTCCTCTGTCTCCTCTCATTAAACACTTAAGAGCAAACGCTTCGGGTGCCCTCCCAGCCCCTGGCTCACCCACATCCCACCCCAGCTTCGCGGTCTGCGGTCCTGAGGCAGCTTTGGGCTCTGCGCCTGTGCTTTCTTCCTGAGGACCAGGGGACCGGGCGTCCTACCTGCTGGGGGAAGGCAGACGGGCCCAAGCTGCCAGATGGGAAGCAGGGCCCGTAACAAAAGGCCATGAAGGCCACCACTTCAAAAGGGCCCGACCCCGCTTGCCTGTGAGCCCGGCAGCTGCTTTGATAGAGCCCAGAACAGACCGACATTGTCAAACCTTCACCGCTCTTCCCTGTTACTCACTTGCGTGCAAACAATAGAAAACCCCACGGAACTGCTCTCCAAACTAGTCTTTCATAAGCACGGAGCCTGTTGACTAGTTTGGACCGTCCATCTCCTCTTGTCTTGCTCTTGGAAAGCAGAGGTTGTTTTTGGAGGGGAGTGTGTGGAATGCGCTTTGAAAGATGAAAATGAAAAGTGAGCCTCTGCCTGTCTGCCCTACTGCCGAGGGCTTGGGTGGCCGCTCCCTGCAAAGGCGTCCCTGCCTTTCAGCCTCTGCTCTGGGCCCAAGCTGCGCAGACCCACCCGGCTGCCCCCCGTGTGGCAGCCTGCGTGCTCCGGGGACCCGGCTCCCAGGGATCCGTGGCCAGAATCACCTTGGGGAGGAAGCTGCTGCCGATGAGAGTCTCATGCTGGATCAGCTCAGGTGACTGCGCTGCAGAGGGGCCTGGAGCCAAGCTGGGGAAGGACAGTTGTAAGACCTGATTTCTTTGTTGTTGTTGTTAATGCTCATCCGAGGATATTTTTTCATTGATTTTAGATGGAGTAGAAGGGTGGGAGGGAGGGATGCAAAGAGAGAGAGAGAAACATCACTGTGAGAGAGAAACATCACTTCGTTGCCTCCCACATGAGCCTGACTTTCCCTTCGCTCGACAGTCACCACTCCCACCTGGGTGGATACACTCACCGCTGGGAGAGGCCCAGGGGCTTTCTCTCAAGAGTTAAGTCCCCCGACACCCAGCTATCTCCACATAAAGCGTGGAGTTCACCGTGAGAGCCCCTGCTATGCCCTGGAGGCCACGTCAAGGGCGCAGGCGTGGCCAGCACCGGGTGGATGAACTAGTTATCAAAGCGGAAGGAGGGCGGAAAGAGTTAGGGGTTGAGTGTGGTTTAAAATTAAATTGTACTTTTTCTCGAATAGCGGGGCATTTAAATAATTTCGGACCTGAGAGCAGAATACACCAGCTTGACTGAGCACTGCCTTGCAGATGTCGTTGAAAAGCGGACTGTGGCTCAGGATGCCTGGGGTGGGGCCCAAGACGCTCCGCTCCTGGCAGGCTCCCAGGAGGGGCTGCTGGCCAGGGCTGCTGCTTGGAATAGCGTTTGTCCGTGAACCTGAAAGAGAAAGGGCCCCATCTACGCTGGGGAGGGCTTAGTTCAAAATAGACGCTGACAAATGGGTCAGCATCCGACCGAGCTCGGAAGGCCCTAAATGCAAAGGCAAGTCAGGGGTGGAAGTCAGAGGTCGGCAGGGATGAGTAACATCCTCCCGGCCGCGGGCCCCCAGGGAGCGAGAAGCTTTCGGGACTAACTTGGGACCGAGGCCAGGATGCTGGGAGGAAGAGGGCC